CTGAACTGTTTTTGAAACGACCATCTGCAAAGGTTGCTTAAGACTGGTCTGTCCTATGACAGATTTTCTATACATAAAAATAAAATTTGAGTTCTGGCATGGGAATTAGATACAGTGTTTTAACGCGAAGCATAGCCCGATTGCTTGAGCGATCTTAGAGAGAAAGAAAGAGAGAGGGAGCTAATTTCCGCTTGACACATTTCTGAAGAGGATACATACCTATTGAATTCTGCAAGTGCCAGGCAACTTTCGATTGCTTAAGAAACATGCGGACCCTTTTTGGCAATGTTGGTAATGCCCACCGAAGAGGCTAAATAAAGCAGACATTTTCAACTATCCGAGCAACGCAACCATCTATGAGGAGATGATATATAATCACGCGTCAGTTTCACTAGACAAATGAACGTTTACTGAACAAGTACCCGTGGCACCAGTTCGATTTGTGATTAATGCAACGAGAAATAGTCATAAAAGCGGTGACATTCGATAATTTAATTTGAAAAGGAAAAAGAAAATCGAGGTCTACTAAGCATGCGGGCTCAGCTGAATGTGTGTAGCTGTCACGACGAGCTTATCTGAGCGCCACTTATAAAATGCGAATATTTTAGCCGCGAAAGCTTTGGACTACGGCAGAATTTGAAGCGAAGCATTCAGCTCTGCTTAAAGTCTGTGAACAAGTCCCGTAATTATCCTCTTGGTACACTTTTTAATAAATCATAGTTAGCCCGACGACAAATTCTATGTTTTTTTTTCACGTATGTACTTCATTTAACTTGTTTAAATATGCCTGACACGATGAGAGTGGGATTCTTTAAGCATGGATGGATATTCGATAGGATACGTATGAAGCCAGAGGGAATTGAAGGGGTGGACGCCCCGGCCGACTCACAGAACTCCAAACTAGACATCTGACATTTTGACCATGCTGTGCGACACTATCATTTGTTTGCTTGAGGGCGTGGTGGGCGCAGAACAGTGAATTAGTTTGCAATGAGACTGACTTGTGCGGCCCTTTACGACACTTCCTCTCACTCACCTACCGGATTCCGGTCGCAAAACACAGAAAGAACAGAAAGGACTAATAAAGCCAAGCAGTCTGTCTACATGCCACACGCAAGGCGTGGCCTCGATGGCGTGTACCAGCCCTTTGATAAGTGCGGCACAGGTCTCATCTCAGTAAGAGTCCCATTTAGGTCATATCTAGCAAGCGATGATGCATCTGATCCACATAATTAATTTGTTCTCAAATACTCACACGATAACCGAGTTAGGGCCTTTCAGACAAACAGGCCCTCATTCACACAGTCACCTTCCACGTCTGGCGAGCTGCTGTGCGGGCATGCTGACGCACGCGAGAACTACCTCGAACTAACACCTCATAGTCACCGTAAGCCGTGTCATGCATGAGTTATAAGACTACTCAAGTTTCCAACGCTCACATGGTCAAGAATTCACACAAGCCCACCCTCAAATAGTTTCGTGATTTTTGGATACATTAGCGCTAGTTAGTGTGCACCATTTGCTGAAACAGAATTCTGGCAATTCTGCCCAGCATAAAGACCCCCGTACTGGTGTTCTCACCTTCAACTGCCCAATGGACCTCATTTGGATTGG